TTGGTAGTTTGTTTTAGAAGATTCAAAAGGCAAGGGAATTCCATTCTAGACTACAAAGTTACGACAGCCTATGTTTGAATATGGTAAGAAGATAAAATTTCATCTGAAAATAAAATGAGGTCCCAAGAAATGGGAATAATATTAAGAGAAAAATTAGATTTCTAGAACACGTGAGGGAAAAAGGAAAAGAAGAAGAGAAAAATACAATGAAGGTCAAAAGGATAAATAAATCTTTTATCATAAAAATTTAAATTTAGCTAAGATTAGGATAATCCTGTGACACTCTTCAGATGCTAACAAGAGATTTTTTTTTACTTTGGAAAGTCTATTAGGAGTAGAGCAACAATGGGTCCTTCTCTTATTGCTAACATAGTTTACAAATAAATTTAAAGCAGGTTGTGCAGGCATTACACAAAGAAAGCGGTAGGGAATAAGTGGATGCCAATTATTTGCTGCACAGTTGTGTAATTGTTACTTTGCAGACTTCCGTTTATGTGTGTCCCAACTTTACTGATGATCTGGGTAGGTGAAAACCTCCTGTCTGGATGTTTGTGGGGCAACTGAAATGCCTCAAATGCAAAATGGGTAGCTATGTACATTTGATAAATAAATACATAAATAAATTCCCATTCAAAACCCCAGTTCAAAAGAAATGATAAAAAGACTTCAAAACCTGATTGAAATAGGCTGAGACGAACATTCTGGATGATCTTCAATCTGTCTGAGCTTTGTGCATTCCTGAATTAAAATTCCCTGTCTTCTCCAGGCAGAGGAGAGGAGAAAAATGCTTGTGACAGAGATCCAGCCTGTCTCTTCCCAAGTCATAACCATGCAATAGTTAATTTATGCAGCAGTGATATAGCAGTGTTGTTCTTGGTATAATTTTGAAACTTAGAAAATTGCAAACCTTAAAATTAAAAAGCTTTTTTTAACATTTCTGAACAGTACTGTAAGAATATGTGATCCACATGTTTCCAAGGTTGTAGGTTTTTTTTTAGCTGTGTTACAGGCAAATTGTTGCAAGCCTCAAGAGTGAAGTAACAGTTACGTAAAGTAGATGCTTTACAAATGTTGCTGTATTATTAAAATATAGTACAACATTGTAATCTTTTACCCTTCCTATCTGAATATAAAAAGTAGAATGCCTGCAAGCAAGTTAGTCCTGGACAATGCAATGCTGTGTTTCATTTATAACATTTATTTACAAGCTTTTTTTTTTTTTTTTTTTGCTAAACCAAACAGCTGCTAATAAAATTGTCCCAATTGTCATTTTCAGCACAATGGTTCTTCAGACATAATTCTTTTATATATTCTTGGGGTGTGAAATTCTAAGCACATGCATTTATCATGAAAGTAGGGCTACATTCTAATCCTTGGTGATTGGAAACAATTATCACTGGGTTTCATAAGGCTTCCTTCCAAATAAGTATTCCTAAATAAAATATTGCTTAAATAGGATTCACTTTCTGAGGCCCATATTGTTTTCTTGACAGAGGTATGGAATTGATACATAGTTGGATGTTTTTCAGCTGGATTAATCTATAGTTTAATTTATAGCCCTAGATTGCCTTGGACCCAAATACTTAATCTGATAATGTTATCTACAAAGTAGAGATAGTAGTCCTTATTTACTGACCACAATTGGGACCACCAACTTGGTTGTTAAGTGAAGCGGTAGCTAAATGAAAGTGATTTTACTTTAGCTTTCTTCGCTTTGTAGACCTGGAAAGATTGTAACTGCAAGGATTGGTGGCAAAGTTTTTGATCACTGTTGTAACTGCCAACGGTTGCTAAACAAGGACTATCTGTACTTTATCTCCGTGGTCCCCACCCTTTTTGGCTCTGTGGACTGGAAGCGGCAGTGGCGGGCCATGGCAGCAGGGGGATGCTATGGTTTCATATGTGCAAATGGAGCATTGCACCTCACCCCCAATTATATGCCCTGGTTCCCAACAGGCCACAGACTGGCACTGATCCACGGCATGGATTGTTGATCCCTTCTTTATCTGACTTAACTGAGGTTAAGAAACTCTGATCATGTAAAAATGTTTAGTAATATTATTTATTTTTAAAAATATTTTTTAAAAATGCCAAACATTTTTTTTTCAATAGTGGTTACTGATAATTTTTATATTGTTTAGTTTCATCAAATTAATAATAACTGTTGTGAGTGGGGAACCTCTAGCCTTATCAATTATTTCTGGCTATGTAACATACATAGGGAGACTTTATAACTTTTAAGAAGTTTTCTTATCCATAATTCTGAATGTGTTTTGAAACTATCCAATTATTCAGAAGTATTATTGTTTTGGAATGCAAATATGGATGACTGAATTTTCTCTTCCAATTAAAATCCTATAAATAGAAAATTTATATCACTATGAAGACCTTAGAAGTGATCATCTTTTCAGTTGCAGCAGCCCACAGAAAATAAGTATCTAATTTAAGTATCTAAATTCAGAATAATTTAGACCCATAGCTGTAATCCCTACTGTTTTCTGAATACTGCAGATCTTGGCAATTGTATCCTGTGCTGTCATGCTTATTTTACTTTTAGAATATTTAAGTGCTAATTCGTAATAAAGTGATGTGTATCATGTATCAGAATAGTAATTTTGAAGTATCACTTCATGTCTGTTTCCAATGTTCCTAAACTCAGTTCAGAACAATAAGTTTCTCTCCAAAGCCTTCCTCCCCTTCTTGTGGAGAAATGGTTATACCATATTTCCATGAGCCATAGTGTTGTGTACTCTAAAACTTAGATAAGCAAACAGGGAATACCTTATGATTGTCATCGATAGAAAACACGTCTTCAAGGATAGTGCAGGAACATACAGGGACTCCTCAACTCAGAACAATTGGGACCAGAAGTTCCACTGCTAAGCAAGACAATTGTACAATCTTTTTTTGCCATGGTTGTTAAGCAAATCACTGAAGTTGTTAAGTGAATCACATGGTCATTTAAAAAAATACAGCTTCCTCACCGACTTTGCTTGTCAGAAGCCAGCTGGGCAGGTCACAAGTGGCGATCAAATTACCCTGGGACACTGCAATGATCATAAACACATGCCAGTTGCCAAACATTTGGATTTTGACCATGTGACTTATGCAGATCCTGCGATAATTGTAAGCATGAGGACTGGTTGAAGGTAACTTTTCTCTGTGCCGGTCACTAAATGAATGGTTGTAAGCGGAGTACTACCTCTAGTGACATCAGAGACAGAAGTTGCTTATATTTATGAGTTCATATTTAGTAAGTGTAGCATGCTACTGCAGAAATAAAATTCAGGGAGTCTTCAACCTATGACCTCAATTGAGCCCAAAATTTATGTTGTTAAGTGAGAAATTTTTAAAGTGAGTTTCGCCCTATTTTATGACTTTTCTTGCCACACTTGTTAAGTGAATCACTGCAGTTGTTATATTAGTGACATGGTTGTTAAGTGAATCTACTTTCCTCATTGACTTTGCTAGTCAGAAGGTCGCAAAAGGGATCATATGACTCCGGGACACTGCAGCTGTCATAAATGTGAGTCAGTTGTCAAGCATTTGAATGTAAATCACATGGCCATGGGGATGCTATAACTGTCATAAGTGTGAAAAGTGGTTGTGTCACTTTTTTCAGTGTCATTGTAACTTTTAATGGTCACTAAATAAACTGTTTTAAGTTGAGGACCACCTGTAGAAAGTGAAGGAGAAAGCAGCCTAAAATAAAAGGGAGATGTTCTGATTCAACACGGTATTTGTTAATCAGTTCATTAATGCCAACTTGACTCTGTTTCACATTCTGCAAGATTTTTGGTGGCCATTAGGTGCATATAATTTTTCCTGAGTGACCTTTCTGCTGAAATAGACCGTGATTGATGAAAGTTTATACAACAATGCCATTTAAAATAAGTGGTCACAAAATAAGTAAAAGTCTGTGGAATCAGGTCATCTTCAGAAGTTCTACCACAGCCAGTATAACTGCTGGTGATAAACTGAAAACCGAACCATTTGGAGAGTACAGTATTTGATTTTCTTACCCTGACCTAAAATATGTTCCAGAACAAGATAGAACTTGGAATGTATTATTGGTAAGACTTTACATTTATCACCAAAAACAGCAACCACATTCACTTTTAACAATATCCCAAAGTCTATGCATCATTTTGCTACTAGGGAATTTGGCAGTGCAATTTACAATGTGTAGCATATGAATCTTGAGATGTAGGATGCTTACGGTATATAATCTATACGTAATGTGGAATTAAAATAACTCACTCTCACTGATTTGCTTTGAAAATGGAAGCACTTGCAAATAAATTGAAAGTAGGGGTTTATATCTCTGTTAGCCTCATTATATGTCAGTTCACAAGTTGTTGAAATGGAAATATTGATCCCCTTCCCCTTTTGACTGCATCTTCCATAGTATGAAACAGTTAGCTATTTTACAGAAAAGTTGATGGTTTACATTATTATGAAAACAATCACAGACTCCATATCACAGCTTTATGACTAAGAATGTATAGGCTTAATAAACCACACTTTAATTTTAGAGTTTGTGCTTATCGTATCTCTTAGTCAGTGGCATAATACAAAATTGGAAAAAAGAGTAAAAATGAAAACAATGTATGGAGTGGGACATAAGTGATATGGAAGCAAGAAAGCTCCCGAGAATCTGAAAATATGGAGAGGCATTGTAAATAGAGTTACAGTAAATTGGATTTAGCTCATTTCCTTTCCTTTCTGGTCTCAAGATCTTTTCTCCTTCTTGCTTTCCCTCTGTGGTTTGTATAATATTGCTTACTTCAAAAAGGAATGGCATGATGGCACATGATTAGATACGAAACAGACAGGGATTTTATAATTTTAGTCTAGAATAGGGTATACTCTCCAGAGAAGTAGAAAATTCTAGTTTTTTGCTGCCGTGTAGTGCTGCTCCGGAATTCTTGGGCCCCAGACTATAAATTTATTTTTGACTTCATTAAATTGCATTGGTCGATCAATCTCTTATGTTTCAGAGTTTGCTGAATGGATTAATGTGCTGTAAACCCGATGATCCCGTGGAGTATCTGGAAAGCTGTTTACAAAAAGTAAAAGAACTGGGGGGAGCAGAAAAAGTCAAATGGGACACTTTTGTCAGTCCAGAAAAAAGGTCACTGCCTCCCCTAAACGGCAACCAGTCAAGAAGAGCATTTTTCAGGAATGGTAAGATAATTTTAAATTTTACATTTTAGCTTGCAGTAAGGAGATTCATAGGCCTGATAAATGATTACATGGGGAAGGGAAGGGAACCATGGTAGCACTAAGATATTCCTCTTTATCCAAGACTATTTACAGTTAATGTTTATTTTGAGGTGGCCTCTGACATTGGGATAGTGATTATTATCATTTCCTCCTCTTTGATAGTATTTATGATGAAAATAAATATATTTTATTCTTTTTAATGTTTAAATAGTTTTGTAATGCATCCACTGAACATCAGCAACCGAATAATGGCATAATGCCATATAGTTTCTAACTTTGCCACTGTAGCATTTTAAAGAATATACTGTATTTAGGCCAAGCAACAATGGAAAACTTGCTTGCTGAAAGAAGGCGGAGCCTCCTCACTGACGGACCATAGATTGCAACTCTCTGTGGCTATGGTCCATGCTCTTTCGTTGGAGAGCCCCGATTATTACGATTAGGGGCTGAAGCTGCCTTGGAGGGGCGGCGGAGTAAGGGGAAGCCGCAAGCCAGGTTGAGGGGAGCCGCATCTCCCCTCCTGGGCTTGGTCTTTTTCCTCCCCGAAGACGACTGCAGCGGTGGTTTAAAATGGCCACCCCGAAGAGGAGGACTCAGCTGGATTAAGAGTTGTGCAGGAGGGAAGAAAGAGGTGGATAACATCTGAACTGGGACAACTGGGCAATACAACTAAACAAAAGTACCCCGGGATTAAGGTAACATGGAATTTTTAAGAAAAGAAAAGTGAGCGGCGAAATTACAAAGGGACAGGGGGAAAAAAAGAAAATAGTTTTGACGACTAAGCGGGGCTTCAAACCAGGAAAGGAAGAAGCTGGAACTAAAGATTTAATTAAATTGGACTAAAATATTTTGGGAATAAACAGGCATAAAATAAAGCTGGACTTAAGATTGTCAAAAAATAATAATAATAAAGTTTACAAATTGGAGACTGGACTGTGCTGGAATATTGAAGTTCGAAAAACCCTAAATAAAAAAATAGGGGGGGAAGGTGAAGACTTTGTATAATGGAGAGTGCCACCTTTTGACAAAAACTTGAGCTCAAACAAAAGGGAAAGCATCCTGTTTCTGAATGAACTTGTGTTGATATAACATTAAAGAAATATTGAAACAAAGTAAGAATCTTAGAAAGTGAAAGCAGAACCAGAATAAAGAAAAAAGCAAGGAAAGACTGACTGTGGGATTGATTGATGTTTTTGGTATAGACCCTCGGCTGGAATAACTGAGAACTTTAGAAAATTGAAAGAAGAAAGAAGGAAAGTAAAAGTGTTTTTTTTTTTGTGTGTGGACTTTAACGATCATAAAACATAAGAGTGTGTAATGATGATATCTCTTCCGGAATTAAAAATGGAACTTAAAAATATGAGAGAATTACTACAGGAAAGAGGCAAATCACTTTGCTCTGTGTTAGAAAAAATGGAAATGGTGATTGAAGAACAAGAAGAAAGAACTTCAGAGGAGGAGGAGTCGATTCAAGGAGAATACATTTTAAATAGACAATTAACACAAGAACACTACAAAGAAGTGGGGAAAGAAGGAAGGTTAAAAAGTTGAAATTTAAGAAGGCAATCAAAAGGGGGAATACCTGTGAAGTCAGGAAAGGCAGAAAGACCCAGCAGAAAAGGGGAAAGGAAGATATTAAGAAAGAGAGGGATATAAACTGGAATGAGAAAAGATATGGGGAAAAGAGGGAGAGGAGAAGCAGTAAGAAACAGGTGCATGAAATAAAGAAATATGGAAATAGCAAAATGTTGAAAAGAAATTGTTTTTTCAGAGATAATGGTTGATGAATTAAAAAGGGGATTCTGCAGGGTGTCAAGGGGTAATAAGAATATTTCTGCAATTAAAAATATTTAGAAAATAGGGTAATATAGATACTGATAACTCTTATTAAAAATCAAGGGGGGAAAATATGCTGCAGAATCCAAATGAAAAGATGTAATGATTATTATTGTAACTTAAAAAATAATGGTTTATTGGGAATCAAGATGAGGGAATAAAGATATATTTTAATCATTGAGGTGTCACACTCAAAACAGTAAAAGGGGGGAAACCTATACTTGTTTTTTTTTTAGTGTTAAAATTTGTATTAATCTAGAATTTATAAAAAGAATGTGTAATGGAAAGGGAATATGACAGACTAAAGAACCAACTAAATTAATAAGTTAATATAGACTATTAAAAGCAAGGAGAGACATTGGTAACTATTATTATTATTATTAGGCAAACACATATTGTTTATCTTTATTTTTAAAATAAATATTAAAGGATTATATTTGAAATAATTGAAATGAAACAAAAAGATGTTTCGATTGAGATTAATGAAAGAGGCTAGAATTAATGTGTTTGTTTCTCTCCTAACTGAAAATTTGGAATGGAAAAGGTAATAATAGAATTAAGTATGCATATATGAATGTATAATTGCTGTCATATTTGTATGTAAAGGTGATGACCCGGAAATATGTTGTCCACTAAAAAGAGATTTTTGTTTTTAATGTGAAAAACTGAATAAAATTTGTTTAAAAAAAACAACAATGGAAAACTTGCTTGCAGAGAAGTAATGCCAACATAATCATGCTGAGGATACAATTAATATTGATTAGTTAAATCATCTAGAGAACAGTCTCTAGATTTTCCATTATTTAAAACCATGCCAAAATCATGTATTATGAGAAAAATAATTGTTTAATTTTTATGACTGTACCCAGAAAGTATTTTATTTTTTTTAAAGCAATTGAGCTATTTTCAGGTTTTGTGTGAATTACAGTCAATAATTAGATTAAATGAGCTATGTAATATTTTAACAAATGACTCTAAAAAGATGCATTAAAATCAAATTAAAATTGCACTTTTAGCTCTACCTATCATTGTGAAAGGCACTGCAACTCATTTGAAATTCTAAATAACAGATTATTATAAAACTTTTTTGTGTCCTTCAGGCTAAATGACAAGATTTATCTAAAAATGGACACGTTCCAAACTATATAGTTAAGTTTTTAGAGGTCATCTTTCTAAGTAAAGGAAGCCAAAATGCTGTCTTAACATAGTGCAGAAATCTTCCTGGGGTCATCTATTTGTGAACCAAAAGTGTAGAAGAAATCATTCACTTAGAAGTTTATCTGAAACACATTGAATTCTGTGATGCTCTTTAATCATATAACTGACAATTTATAAGGCATAACTTCTCTTCGGGAGATCTCTTTTTGCAAACAATCCCTTCATGATAGGATTCTCCAGTTGTTAGGGACAAGCAATCCTCTAGCTCTCTTTTCTTAGTCCAAAACTCCCATCAAGGTCATCTTTGTCAGGTTTCTAGGGAGTTTAGTGATGGGGGGGAAAGTCAGGAAACTCAGCATGACTGAATCTGAAGGAATATAGAAGCAGCAGACGAAAACTTTCTTGAAAGGAACTCTTTGATATTTGTCCCATTTCAATTTCCTGTGATGTCTCATAAGTATGGAACAGCTGTCTTCTTCAAGAAGGGAATGAGATCTAGCTGAATTATGATTAAAGCTTGCTGGGAACATCTTATTGAAGTAAGTTTTAGACTATGGTATAAGTTCAGTACAGCAGTCTGATGTTTGATCTTCTGCTGGCTATCATTGATTGAAACTAGTTCTGTGAATAAACTTCAGAGTATGAGCTGTTCTTATAGAGGCAACCTGTTTTCTCATTGCATGAACATTATAGAATGTTTTCCTTGTATTTACTCAACATGCAAGCCCATAACTTATTTATGGCTTATTTAAATATAGTTTATTGCATTAACAAAGCTGCACAGATATCTACAATATATTAAATCAGGGGGATGTCCAGCCTTGGCATCTTTAAAACTTGTGGACTTCAATTCCCAGAATTCTACAGCCAGCTGTATAATGTACTGAATCTCATTCTAAATCCCACAATTTAGCTTAACTTGGATGAACCATTCTCTGTGACATTAAACTAGGTACTAGTGTCATCAGCAACAATTTTTGAAAAATGTTTTTTAACATCTCTATGATTTACAAGAAAACTACATGGAAGTACCGTGGAAGTAATTGTCAAGAGTCCAACTTGACTTGAGTGTGTAAATGTTTTTCTCTAATAGATTTGTTGAGTGTATTGAAGGATCTGTAAAGAGATTGCTTAAACAGGATCTCATGGTAACAGTTAGGCCTTTTATAAAAACATTGTTTCTGCTATTCATTACTGATGAACATAAAAATACATATTTTGATGTTTTGTCTTTTCTTTTTTTCTTTTTTATGCTCTTGAGTCAGTCTTGATTCCTGACCACAGCCTGGAAAAGTCAATTCTATTTTCTTGGCAAGATTTCAGAAGTGGTTTGCCATTGTCTTCTTTCTAAGATTGAAAGAGAGAAGGACTGGCCCTAAGTCACCCACCTGGCTTCATGCCTAAGGCAGGCCTAGAGCTTAGGTCTCCTGGTTTCTAGCATAATCTTATATGACCATCAAAGGGATCCTCATTTCTGACATTACCATTTCATATTTTACAGTGATGCCTGACAACCCCAACTTTCCATACCGGAGATATGATCGACTTCCTCCAATCCACCAGTTCTCCATCGAGAGCGACACGGATCTCTCAGAAACAGCTGAACTTATTGAGGAATATGATGTGTTCGATCCGACCAGGCCTCGACCCAAAATCATCCTAGTCATAGGTGGGAAAGCAAAAAAATGAGGCTGACCACAACAAAACCAGTAAAAAAATAAATCTTAGATTGTCGATGGCTTTTAACACTGGAGCTGCTGGGTCAATGAATGTCAGAGTTTTTGTTGTAGAGGGCTCCAACCTGCTGCTTAAATGTTGTATGTAAACTTTACCTGAAACACATAGTTGCAAATAGAGCCGAATCCCTGTAGATTGAACCAGTGGTGGGATTCCAAATTGCACGCTACCGGTTCTGCGTGCTTCAAAGAGCGCTCAAGATCACCCTTGGTGAGGTGAGCTGTTTTCTAGCTCAGCTGAGGCGCGGCAATCCGCTCTGCTGAGCTAAAATAAGCTGAATAAGATGAGCTAAAAATCAGCGGAATACAGGATGGGAAAGGGCAGGGGTGGGTGGGTGGGGCCAGTCAGAGATGGTATTTGCCAGTTCTCTGAATTGGTCCAAATTTTTGATACCAGAACACCAGAACCAGTCCAAACCGGCTGAATACCACCTCTGCATTGAACTGTAAGAAAGATAAAATCTAATCTGGTAGTTAAAACTAATAGGATAAAGAAACACACTAAGGACACTGACACCATTGCTGGGAATCTGTTCCTTATTACTCTTCCTTTTGTGTGTCTGGTGTATGCTGGTTTAGAGGAATCATGCTTGTGATTCTGTTCTGCTAGCTGGATAATCTTCTGTCAGTGTCCCAAGCACCATCATTCTGAGCAAACATAGGCAATGGGAGAAGATTCTTCAAAATGTGGCCATTTCGTCAAAATGATGAGATAATGGTTGTGATGGCTGGGAGTTACAATTCGGGAAGAACTCCAAGCAGATGGAATGCACTGTTGTCATATCCATTTATAAACCACCACACTAAAGTTCCTTACTGTTTGGGGCACTATGACACCGACAGTTGCCAATAGTTAGATCAATAGAGAACTGAGGAGCTAGAGGGTAACAGGTGGTCTCATTTCTGCTCTGTGGTGTTTACAATGAAAAACACCATAGGAGTTGATAGACTAATGAACTCCTTCTGTATGGCTCCACAAAAACTAATAAACTCATTTCATACATTCATTGATATTGAAAGCTATTTTTTCCAATCAACTTCTATTGTGTTGACTTCTAGTATATCTTGAAGGCCCTTGGTTTGGGAAAAACTGGCCTAGATTCTAATTCGAGTTATTCATGATTGAAAGATTGCTAGAAGCTTGACTTTGAGGCTCGTTTAAGGATGGTACGAGGAGGATAATCGGGCAATGCATCTAAGAAAACTTGGTAAGGCCTTTGTTTTTCCTTATAGGCGGACCCGGCAGTGGTAAAGGAACCCAAAGTTTAAAAATAGCAGAACGCTATGGATTTGAGTATATCTCTGTGGGTGAATTGTTAAGAAAGAAGATCCATAGCACAAGTAGCAATCGAAAATGGAGTCTGATCGCTAAGATAATTACAACTGGGGAATTAGCCCCACAGGTAAAAACAACAACAAGCCTTCACAGTCATATGTGTATGTGGTTTTTTTTCCAGCAACATTTGAGAATGTACTCTTGAAACAGAAATATATATATATATATCTTTTTATTGTTTATCTGTTCAAGGAAACCACAATTACTGAGATAAAGCAAAGATTAATGCAAATTCCTGATGAGGAAGGTATTGTTATTGATGGATTTCCACGAGATGTTGCCCAAGCTCTTTCCTTTGAGGACCAAGTAAGCTGTTTATTCTTTTGGCTGCAGCTATTTTGAATATATCCTGCTTTTTATACCAGAATAAATGTATTTAAAGTATTTCTGTACTGTTTTGCATAGCAAATTTGTATCTCAAACACTAGGAAGGAAGTAATAAATTAAAACAGTAGAAAAATAGGAATATGTACTAAAACAAGAGTACATTTTTAAATATAACCATATCCATATTGAAGAGGATTGGAGGTAATCTTTTTAATTATCTTTTTGATGTTTGATTTTTAAATTTTCCCTATTGTTCCTCACCTCCATCTTTTCATTTTTGTTGTAATTTTGTATTTTATCTTTTTTGTTTTTTTGAAATTTAATAAAAATCTTTTTATTAACAAACAGAATATGAACAGAAGCAAGAAAGCCAATCCAAGCAAAGTAATTCATCCAGTATTAAGACAGGTCTTCAATAAGTGTCTAAGAAATGTAATATATTTACTTAAACAAAGAGATGGTTCTGTCCACCTCATCCCATAATTATATTTGAATAATTTGCAGACTTGATATAAAAAATATTTAAAGGGAAGAGACATTGAAAAGAAAGCAAAATTGGGTTTGGAATGGCAAAAGCAATGGCATGGCAAAAACAATGGATTAGAAAAAGCAATGGTGGCAATTTTTTTCATATCTTCTTTCTCAAGGCAGATACTCCCTTCCTACTATCCTCTCCCTCATTTTGCCAGCCTCAGAAGGATGGAAGGCTGAGTCAAACATGAGCCCCGTTAGGATCAAATTCTAGGCTGTAGGTAGAGTTTGCCTGCAATACTGCACTTCACCACTGCACCACCAGATATATCTGCTAATACACACAGTGATTTTTTTAAAAAAGTGACATTTGCATTGTGATTTCATGGCACATGCCATGATTGGCAACCTCTAATCCAATGTTAGGCCCAAATGCGTAAGTCACAGAGTTTGCAAACATCACAAATCACATTTTTATCATCCACACAATCACTTAAGAAAGTCTACGGCCATCATGGCAAACCGGTGGCACGCAGAGCTCTGTCTGGGAGCATGGGTCACCCCCAGCCCAACTCTAATTACATTTCTCCATTGCATTTCTGTCAATCGATTCCAACTTCTCACAAGAGAAAAAGATCTCACAAAGTTGGGAATTGATTGAGTGAACTTTTTCACTTGTGTGCTTCACAATGGGAGAGATGGGGTCCCGTCCTCTTCTTGAAGCCCATTACAATGTGGAGCCACAATGCAACCGTGCGTTTGCTCGGCTCAGCAAGAAAAAAAAAACAGGTGTTTTTTTTTTCCTGCAGAGCTGCCTGTGTTGGGATGCCCTGCCTCCCCACCCACCAGCTGAGCTTTGGCGTGCTGCTCCTGGGCTTATCGGCCTACAGACATCAGATTCCCACCACCTAGCACAAGTTCAGGGGTTCCTCTCCCCCCTGCATGGGGGGGGAGAGAAAACAGAGGGAGGCAGAGAGGAATAGGGAGGAAAAGAGAGAGAGAAACGGGGAGGCAAAGAGAGAGAGACAGAGAGGGAGGGAGGGAGGGAAAGAGAGAGAGAAGGAGGGAAAGAGAGAGGGAGGGAAAGAGAAATGACATTACAAAAGTTTTTCTTTTTTTTATTGTTGCTAAATGTAATGTTTCAAAAGCAGAAAAAGCCCCAAAGGAGTCTTTAAGGGCTGAATGCCAAGAGGCACGGATTTCCTCTGCCTTCTGGGTCCCCACCCCATGCTGAAGCAAACCAAACAGGCTGGGGTCTCCTGCTAAGCGGCCCCTCTGAGCCCATTTGCAAACTTCGCTGAACATGGCTCCAAATATTCGGCTTGTGCATCCCTCCTGGCCAGCGCCTCAGTGACAGTGGCGGGGAACATAACACCCTGCCTGCTCTGCTCTCTCGCTGGCCAGAAGTGGGGCTCCATGCCCTTGCCTTCCAGCCAGAGCGCCACATTTGTTTATTTGTTGATTATAAGAGGAAGATTGAGGATAATTTTTATAGCAATAACATGAGGCAGGTGTGGCGAGGGATTCAACAAATTACAAACCATCAACTGACCAATGTCATCCCTGCTGAGGGGGATGCTTCATTGGCAGAGGAACTGAATCATTTCTTTGCTCGCTTTGAAGTGAAGACATCAGAGACAGATAAAACACAACTACCAGTCAATTGTAGCCCCCACCTCATTGTGGAGGAGCAGGAGGTGAGGAGCATTCTGAGGGCTATGGACCCTAGAAAGGCTGACGGTCCTGACAGTACCTCTGGCCGAGTGCTTAAAGACTGTGCTGATCAGTTGGCTGGAGTCTTTACCAGGATCTTCAATCGGTCTTTATCCCAGTCCACTATTCGTTCTTGTTTGAAGGCTTCCACCATTGTTCCGCTGCCAAAGAAGTTCCCTATCAGTAGCCTCAATGATTACAGACCAGTGGCACTCACTCCTATCATCATGAAGTGCTTTGAGAAATTGGTCTGCTGGCACATCATTTCTGGTCTTCCGCATACATTTGATAAACACCAGTTTGCATACAGAAAAAATAGATCTACAGAGGACGCTATAGCTGTCACTCTTCACACTGCTCTGACTCATCTAGAACAGCAGGAGGGCGATGTGAGGATGCTTTTTGTGGATTTTAGTTCTGTGTTTAACACTATTCTTTCACATAGACTATTGTCTAAACTTCTGGACCTTGGGCTTTCTAATTCAATCTGCCTTTGGATTATGGATTTCTTGTCTGGCCACTCACAGAGGGTCAGATTAGGTAATCATACCTCTACAGCCCTTATTCTTAACATGGTACACCACAGGGTTGCGTGTTGAGTCCCTTACTCTATACTCTTTATGTACTCTGTACTCTTTATGTGCATGACTGCATTCCCACTCACATTAGTAATACTATTGCTAAATTTGCAGATGATATATAGTGGTGGGACTTATCTCCGGGGGGGATGAGTCTGCCTACCGAGATGAGGTGGACCAGTTGTTTTCATGGTGTGGAGACAACAACTTGGTCCTCAACACCAATAAGACCAAGGAGCTTATAGTGGATTATAGAAGGAACAGATCAGACATCCAGCCCTTGCTTATCAATGGAGACTGAGTGGAGCAAGTGGCCAGTTTTAAGTTTTTGGGTGTTACCCTAAAAGAGGACCTGACTTGGGGTGCCCACATTGCAGCACTGATCAAAAGGGCCCAGCAGAGATTATACTACCTGAGACTTCTCAGAAAACAACATTTGAATGAGAAACTGCTGGTGACCTTCTACCGCTGGACCATAGAGAGCATTTTAACATACTGCACCTCTGTAGGGTTTGCCAATTGCACAGTGGCAGATAGGAAAGCACTCCAGAGGGTTAACGTCATTGCCCAGAAGATCATTGGTTGCCCTCTCCCCTTTTTGGAAGAGCTTTATAGCTTCCGCTGCCTTAAGAAAGTTCAAAACATTCTCAAAGATCCATCTCATCCTGGAAACCCTTTTTTGAACTATTACCATCTGGCAGATGGTACAGAATAATAAAAACAAGGAATAATAGGCTGAATAACAGCTTCTATCCCAGGGCAGTAGCTCTTTTGAATTCTGCTGTATAGTGCAGTGTTGGTGTGGTGCCGGGGGTTTCCGGTTCAATGTGTGAAGGGTGAAGGATGTGTGTTTGTGTTTATTTTCATGGTCGTGGTCATGATATGCACTGAAGATGGTGTTTGATTTCATTGTATGAGGTGGAGTGACAATAAACTAAACTAAACTAAATCCTTCCATTTGCTGGTCGCCTCCGAGGAGGGAACTGCACTCAGGCTGCCCGGGTCCCCACCACAGGGAGAGAGAGGGAGAGGGATGGGGGGGGGTGTCTCCACAACAGGATCCAGGTTGGAGTTGCCTTCTTTTGTGTGGATCTCTAACTCTTGGCTTTGCCTACCCTGTGGCGGGGGAGTGGAAGCTTCCACTCCCCCTCCACAGCCCAAGTGGTTGGATTCACACAATACGTGAAGCTGGACAGGATAGATAGATGAGACAGACAGAGAGAAAGAGAGATAAAGAGAGGGAGAGAGGGAAAGAGAGAGAGAGAAATAGAGAGAGAGAGGAAAAGAGAAGGAGGGAAAGAGGGGATGGAGGGAAAGAGAGAGAGGGGAGAAAGAGAAAGACAGGAGGAAAGAGGGAGGGAAAGAGAGAAATGATATTACATTTTTTTTTCTTTTTTATTGTTGCTAAACGTAATATTTCAAAAGCAGGAAAAAAATGAAGGGGCATAAAAGTGCATTTATCACATTTTTCTTAGACCAAGTAGCTGAACTCTTCATTGTTTATCGTTATTTTAGATAGTAAAACCTCGTTATTCAGGTTAAATTGCTATGTTAGCACTTTGTGATAAATAAGTGGGTTTTGGGTTGCAGTTTGGGCACTCGGTCTCTAAAAGGTTCTCCATCATTGGTCTACAGTGATCATGAAGATATGGCAATCTATCAGTCTATTCACAGCCTATATATCAGAAGCAAAACTTCCAATACTCGGAACCTGACTTTGCTGATGAGAAACTAGTGTAATTGATTCACCATTAGTGTAACATACAGTGTCCAGATGCTACATTTTGCAGTAGCTGCCTCTTTCAAATTAATGAGCATCGACCTAGGTTATTTATAAATTCCTAATTATAGGCTGATAAGAGAGCGTTTTGTGGGCACACATTTGGGAAATCTGATTCCATGATTCCAGAAGCAGCCAGAAAGGCAGCTAACAATGGCAATAATCTTGGCTGTGTAATTAAATTAGAAAAAAAAAACCATCTAAGTGAACAAATCATATTTTTCATACATCAATAATTGGAAAAGCAACAAGGAAAGGTTATTCTTTAATTGAGGATTTTCAATATTCATTAGAGCGCAGCAGCACATTGTTTTCACAAGATGCCACATCCTGGAAGGTATTGTAAGCTGCTAACTCAGAATGCAAATCTGAATCTGCTTTCAGTAATACATGCATTAGAGGCCCCCCCCTAGAGGGGAGAGGGGGCCTAGAGTGGG